GACCATCCCTAAACTGTCTTCTCAATGCCGTGCAAAGATAATCCCACCTTAGTTCGGTCAGCTTTTTGTGGCACCGCCAATAAAACTCCCTAGCCTTTCCCTCAAACAAAAGGCTTGCTTGGCTGCTGAGAAGGGCGAAATTCCCCTCCAGAGTCTGGTATGTGAGAGCCTCGACCCGATAGATGAAATTATCCACACTGATCCCGTCAGGGTGGCCGCTGAAGCGTAGCTTCCAGCTACTCAAAATGTGGCCTACTTTGTCGGGCCTTTGACTCAATTCTGAAGCGAAACTTCTGGGCGTATCGCGTCTGGAACCTGCTAGCTCTCTACGGTGGTCAAATAGAGGACGGTTATCACTGTCTAGTGCTGTTTCTGCTCCAGGGTTTGTCCCACTTCCTGGCTGATAATGGCCAGCCAAGTTGGTTTGGAACAACTGGGCCATTTTCTCACCCAATTGAATAAGCAAATCGTTTTGCATGGCCTGTACTGCGCTGATGACTGTATTTTCTATCAGCTCAGTTTGCGCGGTACCCAGGACTTGAGTATTTCGCTGGCCACCTGGTGTTGTGTCGCTGACAGCCAAAACTTGCCCCTTTTGCCTCCTAGTGTTCTGGGATGGAGTAGCCGGTATCTCGAAACAAATTGCAGAGCAAGTAGGGCATTTAGTACTCGACTTGGAATATGCTGCTACGCAGGTCTGATGGAACTGGTGCCCGCAATTAGTTGTGTAAGTGGATGCAGCAGCTAATTCAGCTTTGCATAGCGGACAAATAGGTGCACTACTACTCTCTGATTCTTCCATATTGATTTTCTAAATTATTTCTATTACCATATAATTAAAACAAAAAATAAAAATATTTATGCTAAAATATAGATGTGAATATAAAATATAATTAAAAGGTAATATTAATAATTGTTCTCTATTTAATTTTTTATTTATTATTGTTTTTCTTGTATAAATTTTGTTTGTTTTTACTTCGAACTGCTTGCCGAATTAATTGATTTTAAAATGCCAACTAAATCACTGACGTAAGAGTTTCTTATCTCTTTTGCTTGTACGAGGTCATTGACCTCTCTGTCTAAACGCCTGACCAGCTTTACCGCTTACGCTCAGGAATGGTATGAGCTCGCTCTCAAACGCTCAAACTTTAATCGGGTTTCAAAGCGGCAAACGACAAAGAAAAGATCAAACGATCAGCCGATCACGAAATCAGAACCATAAGCATGCAAAAAAAAAATTTACTCGGAACAGACAAAACCACAAGAATTCGGAAATAACAAAAACAATTGTAATAAATCAAATTTGACGTCGAGCGTGACTAATCCCCCTGGGAATATGAGACAAGTGCAGAAACAGGAACGAAGGAAAAAAAAACAACAACACTGCCTGTGCTAGACGCCTGGCGCTTATCATATGTTAAGCGCCACCTGCGCATTCGCACTCTGCAAAGTTGAGCCTATCGGTTTCGCCTTTCATCGTGGTCCAAAAATCCACTGCTTTCCGAAGCGACTAATGGCGAATGATCTGTTTTTTTTTTTTTTTTTATTAGATGGAAATTTGGTGGGTTGTGTTTATCCATTACCCGTGGTCAATCAATGCAATTATGAAACCTCACTGACTGCAATTCCTATGCGTTTAATGGACAGACCTATTGACTCTAGTTGAATTGTAGGGTATCTGGTTGAGCTATTCTTCCTCGCTTGCAATTTCACTCAACCGTGGTCGGACGACAAATCTCTCAAGATTTTGTCTCTCCGTGATCCAATGCGTTTGAGTAAAATTCCACCCGAGGTTTGAAGCTGCGATGAGTGAATAATCGGAACGACTCAATGTTTGCAACGAAAGTAAAAACTTGCCTTTGCTCCAGTTCATCCCGAACCATCAAAATTGGCTAAAATGTCTATTTGTTTCTGAAGCAACGTAAAAATTACGTGGCCTACACGTTGGGCGCCATCTTTAATAATAATAATTATACAATATATAATTATAAATGTAACGAACATTTTAAATCATATACTCAGGCTAGCTGTTGGGACTGAGAGAAGCGCACACGCAAAATTGTTTTCCGGCTGCGGCTCGTCGGCAAGGGGGGTGGTGGTCTTGCTGCTTCCCTCAGCATTGCCTATGCTTATTATTGTTTTAAAGAAAAAGGGATTGCGTGTTTAAATTTCTTGCCGATATGAAGTGGTAGAAAACCTGGACATTTTAGCAACAACATATAGACGGATTAACGACGAAATACATACTCAGATCTGCCCTTATTCCCTGCCCTAGAACTCCTTTGGGATCTCCGGTGATGATGGGATCCCTTTCGCCCTCCCTTCCTTCGGCCGTTCGACTGCCAAATAAAACATTTTTTTTTTATTGAACGGCCCCTTTTGAGTCCTACGGGCTCCCCGAGGTTATAGTTGCTCCGTCAAATTTAAAGAATAATTTACCACATTATAAACTGCATTTTATTCACTAATATAAACATTCTCCCCTCCTAGCTGCGAACACATTAGAAAAATAGACAAGGAACATAAAATCATATAAATATAACTAAATCTATAGGAATAATATAAAATTGAAATAAATTTATAATATAAAAATAATGGATATGATAATATATATGTGTTTTTAAAGGCAAGCATGAAAAGTTCGCAAGAATCACTCAGCATTAAATTAATGATTTCTTTTCTAAAAATTTGAGCCAAAACTAATGAGTGAAAACTCTAAAAGCGAAAACAAATGACAAAGAGACATCAGACACGAAGAGACAATTTACGTTATTTCTTCCTTTTTTATGTATTCTTTATGCTCATTTTTTTTTTTTTTGAGTCTCTGTCTCCGTTATAGTTTTTTTTTTTTTTTTTTTTAATTCTTTTGCTTTATTTTATATTTCTTTCATTGCTTTTGAACTTAAAATTTTTAAATCGGTGATAAAAAAAATTGACTCCATTCCTTTCTTTACTTTTAATTGGTTTTGGTAGCTCACCACAATTTTTCCGTCGACAGATCCCTCGATGAAAGCGCTTTCAGGAGGCTGCAACGCTAAGAATGTTGTTTGGAGGGGGTCAAAGATCACCTTTTTTTAAAGAAACATTAAATAAAAATTACACGACCGGAGCAGAGACGAAAAATTACAACACGAAAAACTAAACTCTCTCACTTCATGCCTCTAAATGCCTTCGCCCATTGGCAGATTAAATTGAACAAATTCTTTTTCACTCTCGGCTCATTTCACTTAAAAAAATTAATAAATAAATTTAATAACTAAATCTACATCAGCTCCATTTTTTTTTCGAGATTCTCTTTCTCTTTTTTTTTCTTTCCTTTTTTATTTAGTTTTTTTTCCACTTTTATTTCCCTTTTCTTCCACTCAGAATTCTTAAGGGGCACTGGCAGGTTATGTTATACTTTTTTTTTCAGCGAATTTTTCTCTTTTTGGGCCGGGATTTTCCCAGTTACGAGCTCGAGTTTTCTCACAACACTTGGGCAAAAAAAATTGGTCGATTTTCCCCTAAGCACAGCAAAAAAAACGTTCGTCTCTGCTTGATTTGGATTTGGACTCCGCCGAACTAAGGCGCTCCGCGAGCGCTTCCGCGACGACTGGCCTGAGCGTCTTATTGGCCCTCCTTCCGTGGCCACAGCGCTCGCAATTGAGCGCTTTTTTTTTTTAAATCACTCCGGAGCGCTATTTTCTCCCTTTCTTTCCCGGTGGTTGATCTTGGCGCTAGCTTCTGCGCTGCTGGGGATTTCCGTTGATGAAATACTTGCTTTCTGCTGCCGCAACCTGTAGAATAAATTGGGCAGGCCCCTGTCAGATAAACCTACTTATTTCTCCTTTTTTTTTCTCGCCAACTCACCTCGCTAAATATAGCGGAAAGGCTGGTATAGCTGGTACTAAGTGTTTTTCCCTTAGGGTCTGTCCAATGGTTGGCACTTCTCGACCGCTTGAAGGATGGATTGGGAAAGATCGAACCGACGCCAATTTTCTGGCGGCTATCCCCTTCCCGAGTCCAAAAGGAGAGATGTGCCCCAGAGCAGGTTGACATTTCACTCTGTTGCTCTCCCTTCCTGATCTACCTTTCCTCCTTCTTACGTCGCTCACCCACCCCTAGGTGGCGCTAGAAACCAACTCCCATGCTACAAGCGCTACAGCATCAACAGCCGAGTCGATCTAGCCATGTCCGTCTGTCCGTCCGTCTGTCCGTCTGTCCGTTTCTACGCAAATTAGTCCCTCAGTTTTAAAGCTGAATGAAACTTTGCATATAGTCTTCTATATACTCTCACTGCTATATATGTCGGAACGGGCCGAGTCGGACGACTATATCATATAGCTGCCATACAAATGTTCGATAAATTTTTAGAAAAAAAAATTTATCTTGGCAGTTTTTCAACATTTTTGCATCATTTTCGAGATTTAGCCAATTTATATTATTCTAGATTTTCGGTTTTAATTTTATGGAAATTCGGCGTGCCGAAGTTAGCTTCCTTTCTTTTTTTTTTATTTTATTTAATTTTCATTTTATTTCCAAGGATAGGTGAAGATAGGTAATGCATTTCTGCAAAGATATACATATTCGTATTATAATAATATTTCATATTATTTTCAATTATTGTTTGCGCTTTTTATATCTTGTCCAGGTCGTTAGCCTGGCTTTTATTTATGGCCCTTTTTGAAATACATTTATTATGAAAAACGTAGGCCTTGTACAAAATGTAAGCACTCATTATGAAAACAATAACTGATAACAAAATATTTGTTAAATTAGAATCAATAGTTTTTGATTTAATTTTATTAATTACATTTGCAGTGGAGTCCACTGACTTTGTTTCTATCATTGCCATAGTGGCTGTGTCTTGTTTTTTGAATCCGTTTTCAAAATTTTTTAGATCCTCTTCTTTTAATTTTATGCCCAACGCCGCTTGCCCGATCAAGGGGATATGCCTTCTCAATACTCCGTTAACCGCCTCTTAAGTAGCGATAACAAGGACAACATTGGTAGTAAACGTGTTCGTGTGGATAGTTTGAATGTTTTATTCTGAAATGTACATAAGTTAACTTAACCTGCAATACAGTTTTCCTTAGCTTACATACCGCAGTTTTCCTTCCCTCTCTCTGTGATGGCTCAAATCGGTGTAATTCGATCCGCCAAATCTAAGTTTGCCAAAAGTTTTACCAAAATAAGTGTGCCCAAATACATAGATTTTGAAATCCTGACACAATAAATACTGACTTCTTGCGGCTCTAACTGAAACTGCACTAACTATCGATAGCCCTAATCCGTTCCGCAACATCCCCGCCCGCGTGAAGCGAAGCATTCATAACGTCCAGGACAGTTAACTTCGAAGCGGGACGCATTGTCGTCTTGGCTCGATCGTTAGTCCGCACCGCTGCTCGAGGAGGTACTCCATCTCTTCCGGTGAACACCTCTTCCACGACGCCTCGTTTTCACTCTTCGTGGTATGGCCGGATCACATATGTACACCAGATCTTCTCGACGAATGGGCTCGACGTGCTGGCACCATCTCTCCCTGCGCACAAGCGTCGGCAGGTACTCATGCATCCATCTCTTCCCTTTAAGAGATCTTTGGGCGGTGGTGCCTCTTGGTCCACCGTCACTGTTAGATGAGTGAGCGGACGAGAGTTCACTATGCTCTCCGCCTCAATCAACAGGTTCTCCAGTACGTGCTCCTTGGGCGCAAGCTCCTTCATAGTATGCGCCAAGACCTTCTTGACACACTGTATCATCCTTTCCCAGGCACCCTCCTCTGGGTTCGCCGGGCAATTGAAGATCCATTCGACTCCTTTGGACGACAGATCGCACTGGATCTTCGCAGGCTCAAACACTTCGCTGAACCTCTGGGTCTCTCGATTTTCCCCAACAAAGTTCTTCCGGCGGCTCATGAAATTCCTCATAGCTATTATATATAGCAGCCTCCGTAAGTTCGTAATACAGAACTTCTGCCGGATCGCTCCTATAGTTGCCTCCGTGTTTTGGTGGCACATCCTCTCGTGGTGATGCTGCACAATCATTTCCGCCAGTGCCTCCGTGTGAGACAGTATGATCGGCCGTCGCGCGAGTTAAGAGATGAATAGTCGTAGAGATGTCCCAGTGAGTATCTGAGAGATGGTATTCCCTTTTTGTATGGGTGTTCCCGTGATTTTCCAGAGAAATTAAACAAGGCTGAAGTGTATTGTTTGAAATCCAAAATCAAAGTGAAGTTTTATTCTTAAATATTCTTATTCGAACCTAAACGTTTATACATCAATGTGCTGACCTAGCGGGTTGGAATTGGAGCGGATGTATAATTGGGTCTCGTCTCGGGTTTCCGCAGTGGCTCGTTGTATGTGTTTAGATGGCAACTTTAGTTGCCAATACATTGTTGTTGTTTATTGCATGGGTTCTGTTAGGCCGCCGAGGGAATGTGCTGAGGCGGTCTAATTGCTGGACAGCCGAAGGGGTTTCGGCGGGGGACCACCGAGGGTGTACGTCGAGGTGGTAACTCCTCCCCCCTCAGACCATAGTGGAGCGATGGTTGGTGTGAATGTGACAGGTGGATTAGCGGTTGGTGCAGGGCTAGCCGGTGGAGCGACTGGTGTAAACGTGGTCGTTCTGTTGGAAAAACATGCTACGGCCAACACTATTATCGCTATCACAGACCACATGGTGTATGTGGTTGTCATGTGTATTGTTGTTCCCGACTGGATTCTGTAATTTTGTCTTGATGTCTTCCATTTTCAACTCGTGGAACCCTAACAAGGTCTCTAGTTTCTGCCTCCTCTACTACCTCATTAAGTGTTTTCTCTATCCGTTCCATTGCTTCTTTGTATTCCTGGAGTTGATTTTTTCCTTATGGATGTTTTCCTTATGGATTTTCTGGGGTTTGGTAGAGGTTAATGTTAGACCGTGGTCCTCCATCACCTGGTGTTTCGAAAACCTAGGAGTCAAGTTGTCCCTCCTGTTTTCTTTCCTAAATATTGTGTCTCCTACTTCTATCGGTTCCGGGTCTTGCCTGTCGGCATTCGCCGCCTCTATTCTCTTCCTCTTCTCTTGATGTACCCTTTCTTTAATTTTCGGGTAGAGTTCCGCTTAGAACGCATTAATCTTCTGTAAATAATCGTGTTCACTATTAAATGACACGTTATTCAAGAAGTTATGCGTCCTCCCCGTGAACAATTCTTGTTCACGAAGTACAAGTCAATATGCACTATTTCTATTGGCCTCTCAGGTGTCTCTGTAAGGCTATATACGATCTTATTTGGTCTCCTATCATACTTTTGTGTTTGGCAACTATCGCAATTGTTAATTGTCTGAGCAATTGCTTGTTTCATGTGGACGAAAAACACCTTCCTTTTGAGGTGTGCTAAAGTTTCGTCTATCCCTGTGTGGTTTGATTTTTCATGATAGTTTTTGATAATCTGCTCCTGTTCCCTCTTTTCCGTTATATCCGGCAATAAGACAGTACACCTTATTGCCTTATACAACTTGCTGTAAGCGAAATACCTACAATATGCATTTTGGATTGTTTTCACTAAATTGTCTGGAATCAGGAGTGCTACTGTTCTTTTTGGTTTCAAGGTTTCTTTTAATCTTCGACCAACTGTCTCATCGTCGAACTTATTATCTGTCCAAATTATTCTCAACTTATTCCTGAACGGAATTTGTTTCTGAATTCTCGCTACCCTGCCTTCCTTTATGACCATCTGAATGTTATACTCGTTCAGTGGTTTTTCTGATATTGGGAAACTCAATTTGAGATCTTCCCCAGCAGAGTGGATTGTCTCTCCATCGGTCGCCCTCTCGGAGGCATCTTCGAACGCATTGAGCTCAGGCTGGATTCTGCTCAATGCGTCAGCGACTACGTTCAGGGAACCTTTCTTGTATACAATCTCGTAATCGTACTCCAGCATTTGGAGTCTCCATCTTACAAGTTTGGAATCAGGTTCCTTGACGCTCATTAACCATGTTAATGGCCTATGGTCGGTGACTATCATGAACTTTGTGCCAAACACGTAATGCCTAAAATGCTTAATGGCCCAAATAATGGCGAGCATTTCCTTTTCGATCGTGGCATAATTCACCTCCGATCCTGACAGCGTTCTGCTAGCATATGCTATTGGTCTGTCCGTTCCCAAGTTCCCTTGGGACAAGACGGCTCCAATCGCATACTTACTCGCATCCGTAGTGAGGATAAAAGGTTTCTCAAAGTCGGGGAATTGAAGTATGGGGTCATTGCACAGTAAGGTCTTGCATACCTCGAATGCATCATAGAATTCCTGGTCTATCTGTATAGCCTTTTTCCCTTTCAACTGTCTTGTCAATGGCTTTGTAATAGCCGCAAAATCCCTTATGAACTTCCTATAGTACCCCAACAGGCCCAGGAATGATTTAATTTGTTTCCTGGTTTTGGGAATCTCAAATCTTTTTATCGCCTCAATCTTCCCTGGGTTCGGTCTTATCCCCTGTTGGGTCACTACATGTCCCAAGTATTCAACCTCCTTCCTTAAAAATTCTGTTTTGTCCAATTGCAATTTGAAGTTCGCCTCCGTAAGTTTCTTGAAGACTTGCTCCAAATCCGTTATGTGTTCTTGCAGGGATGTCGAGTATACCATAATGTCATCCATATATAAGGTTGTCAAAAAAGTCTTGCGGTATTTTGATTGATTTTTCAATTGTTCATAAAATTGGTTATAATAGTGCGATTTAAGTCAAATATGCGCCGTTTTGTTCGATGACGAATTCCCAACGAGATGCCAACTTTATAACGCCCCTCTTATAGAAGCTCGCTTCCCTATTGGCAAAAATCTCGAAGAGCCAATTTTCAAAGGACTCTCTTGTGTCCAACTTCCGACTACCAAGCTCGTTCGCCATGGACCGAAATAGGTGGTAATCACTTGGTGCAAGATTCGGACTATACGGTGGATGCAAAAGAACCTCCCACCCGAGGTTCGGAAGCTTCTGGCGCGTCACCAAAGACGTGTGTAGCCTGGCGTTGTCCTGATGGAAGACAATTCGGCTTCTGTTGATCAAAGATGGCCTCTTTTGCATGAGTGCCGCATTCAAGCGGTCCAGTTGTTGGTAGTACAGGTCCGGATTGAGCGTTTGACCATAGGGGAGCAGCTCATAGTAGATGATTCCCTGCCAATTCTACCAAACAAACAAAAGAACCTTCCTGGCCGTCAATCCAGGCTTGGCCACCGTCTGGGCAGCTTCACCGCTTTTCGACCACGATTGTTTGTGCTTCACGTTGTCGTAAGGGACCCACTTTTCATCGCTAGTCACTATCCGCTTCAAAAAGGGTCGATTTTGTTGCGATTCAAAAGCGATTCGCATGCATCCATACGGTCAAAAATGTTTTTTTGCGTCGAGTCGTGTGGCACCCATACGTCGAGCTTCTTTTTGAATCCAAGCTTCTTCAAATGGTTTATAACGGTTTGATAACTCATGCCCAGCTCTTGGCCGATGCTACGGTTGCTACAATGCCGGTCTCTTTCGATCAATTCAGCGATTTTATCGCAATTTTCGACGACAGGCCTTCTGGAGCGTGGCCATCGTTGTGCGGTGGAAATGGAAACTGTATCGAGTCCATAAACTGCAAAAATTTTATTGGCAGCATGAGATGCATTTAAGCCTTTATCTTAGTAGTACTGTAAAATATGCCTATTTTCTCTTTATTTTGCTCCATGTTTGCGGCGCTATAACTCACGAACGACTAAAAACAAACAACCATAAATCAAACAAATGTTAGCGCGTGAAAAGAGCTTTCCAAAAAGGTCTAATGTAAACCGATGCGACGAATAAAACTAGAACTACGCGCTTGCAAAGATACCTAGCGAAAATTCCGCAGGACTTTTTTGACAACCTTATATATAAGACAACATTTTCCTACTAACTCTCCGAAAATATTATTCATCAACCTTTGAAAGGTTTCTGGGGCGTTATTCAGCCCGAATGGCATTCGGATGTATTCAAAGTGTCCCCCTTCTGCCGAAAAGGCAGTTTTGGGGAGGTCCTCCTCCTTTACCTCGATCTGGTGGTATCCACTCGCCAAATCTAAAGTTGAAAAGTACTTAGCTCTCCTTAGGTTATCTAATACGTCATTGATTAACGGAAGAGGATACCTGTCCTTAATGACTTCCTCATTAAGTTTCCTATAGGCCACTACCATTCTCCATTTCCTCTCTCCAGAGGCATCCTTCTTCTTGGGCACCAACTAAACCGGCGCACTCCAAGGAGAATGGCTATGTCTAATGATTTTCTGCTCTAACAGCTTCTCTAGCTGTCTTCTCACGTCCTGCCTTTCTTGGAATGCATACCTGTACGGCCTTGCGTCACCGGTATGTCATCATTCGTTCTAATTTGGTGCTTGACCGCATTAGTAAATGATAGGTGATCTCCTTCCTTATGGTACACATTGGGATATTTTTTACAAATTCGTTGGAGCTCTTCACTATTAAGATGTTCCGTTCCAATCTTTTCAAATGGTATCCTCGTAGCTCCCTTATATGTCTCCTCAATATTGTTAAGTTCAAAATGATGGTCTGTTTCAAACTCAACACCTTCCAACGGTTCTTCCAAAAATACTTCCTGGTCCTCTTCAGCATAATTCGTTATTTCAACCAGGCTTCTTCCAGCCACTGCCCTATAAATTCCTTCTGAAATGATCAAATCCTCCTTTACTATTGTTTTGGTTAACAGGAAATCCCCGTCAGGTACTTGTACCGGAATAGGAATAACTGCCTTTGTTCCTGCTTCTATTGAATGGAACTCGCTGGGTCTATATGTAGCGAAGTGTACCTGTAACTCGGTGTCCGACGTACGGAACCAGCCTTTCTCGATATCAATGACGACCTTAAGTTGTTGTAATAGGTCTATACCAATTACCCCTTCGAAGAATTGGTGGAACTTAAAAAGCCACAGTCTCATTTTTCCTGTCACCTTGAGTTCCTTAAACATTGGTA